ACAAACAAACACCTTGCCTTCATGAAGCTTAATGAGGGAATGACTGGTTAGCTTTGGATCTTCAGGGAATCTTATGAATGCAGTTATTAAGAAAAGGGGAATGTGGTTTGGCTCGGTGGATAGGGTATCAGCCACTGTGAACTAAAGGGTCCCAGTTTGATTCTGGTGCTCAGGCTGCGGGCTTGATCCCCAGTAGGGGGCGTGAAGGATACAGTCAATCAGTGATTCTCTCTCATTGATGTTTCTAACTCTCCCTCTCCCTTCCTCTCTGATATCAATAAAAAAAAAAAAATTTTTTTAAGAAAAGGGGTTTGTGGCTTGAAGACAGACACACTGGTGTGGGTAAGAAGAGCATAGAGGAAGGGGAGCCAGTTACAGTGCTGAAAGGATGAGGTGTGAAGGCTTGGATAAGTGACAGCAACACAACAGGAGTGGCGAGGGGAAGCAATGGGGCAGGACGCCGCTTGGTTCTATGTGATGCCAGAGTAAGGAAGTGGCGATGATGATGAAAGTTTCCAATCTTGATAGTTTGCTGTGCTGCCCTGAATAGACAGGGAAGTTAGGAGGGGAAATAGCTGTGGTTGGCGGGTTTTAGGGTGTGGGATGAGTTACATCCATTTTGGATATGCTGCCTCTGAAAAAACAGAAAGGAATCTAGTAGGTGAAAATGCTTAACACTTTAAGTAAAGATTTAGAGTGCAAGTGAAAACCAAACTCCCTTATCTCTGTTACATCATCTGAATAACGTAATGGTATTCCAAGCTCCTCTAAGAATCTGCTCCTTCACAACGGAATCTGCGAGTTACCTTGTCTTTTCGGTCCCTGGAACACGGTAGGGCCCTGAATAATATATGTGAGTTGAGTTGGTTGGCAGTAAGTAAAATGTTGTCACCGGGCCAAAGAGACATGTATGTTTGGAGTCAGAAAGGCCTCAATTCAAATTCTTGCCTCCTCCCTCCCTCTCCTCCTAGTTATACGACCCGAGCAAATTGTGAGCCTGCATCTTAGACTTCTCATCCATAAAAAGAATGAAAATTGATCTTGCAGTAGGCTATGAGAGCAATTAAGTTAAAGTCCAGGAGGCACAAGAATCAAAGCAGTTACCACAGTACTGATTATTGTCACTGTCAGGTTTTGCCATGCCTTTCTCCTCCTCCTTTAATCCCTCTTCTCATTGGTGACATTCCATCCAGTCGGTCCTGCCGGAAGCTGTCCTTGTGGAGTGGCCACCTGCCAGCCAGCTCTCCTAAAGCCGTCACTAAGCTCCTCTCCACATGGACGGCTGGCCCGTCAGCTCACATCACCCAATTCAAATGACAACACCGTGCTTGCAAATTCCAAAATCACGGTTAGTGCTTTAGATTTGGTCACGTTTACACCTGGCTTACAAACTGAACCGCTGTGTCCTTATTTATATACAACTTGCATCCATGCAGTCTTGGAAGCAGCTTCCTAGTCCAGCATTTAAAAATACTCCTGAGATAGCTTTTCACAGCAATCAAAAAGTAACTACACCGAGAAAGCTGTACCTACATACTGTTTACTTCCAAAAGGTAAGTAAGAACCTGGGTTGCATCTACAGCACATGTGTCAAACACAAGGCCCGCGGGCCAAATCCGTCCCGCCAGGCCTTGCAATGTGGCCCGCACCGCGCTGTCATCACTGCACTCCGCTGCGTTTCCATCACAATGACAGTTTATGACTGTTCAGTAAACCATTCGGCCAGCGATTTAGGCTGGATTTTAGATTTTGGCCCCTTCTCTGATTGAGTTCGACACCCCTAATCTACAGCATGATTAGTTGTGATACTCAAGGATGTTAGTTCAGACAGAGTGATGACTATCACCCACTGGCTCAGGCGCTGCGTGAGGCACTGTATAATTTGCCTTGGAAGGGAGTTAAACTTTTTCAAAAGACTCATACATTCTACACAAATGAATGAAAGCTTGTGTAACCTTCATTCTTCTGTACTCTACAGTCAGCCCCAAGCTATGGCAATGTTTAAGAGCAAAGACACATGGAACATAGCACGCGCATGTGTGCGTGTGTGTGTGTGTGTGTGTGTGTGTGTGTGTGTCTGCAGGGGCATGTGTGTGCTACATGGCAAGTGCTAGAGAGCGAATGTTTTTGTCCCTCTTCTCCTTCCAAATTCACAGGTTGGAGACCTAATCTCCAGTGTGATGTATTTGGAGGTAGGGCCTTTGGGACGTAAATAGGTTTAGATGTGGATGGTAGAGCCTTATGATGGGATAGATGTCCTTATAAGAAAAGGGAGAGAGCAGAGCTTGCTCTCTCTTCCATCTGAAGGCGGCCGCCTGCCACCCAGGAAGCAGGTCCTCATCAAACAGCAAATCTGCCTGGCACCTTGATCTTGAACTTCCTGCCTCCAGAACTGTGAAAAAATAAGTGTCTGTTGTTGAAGCCGCCCAGTCTGTGGTGATTTGTTACAGCGGCCTGAGCTACAGCAGCAAGTGAACACAGCGCAGGCCTGGGAACACTGAGCAGGCTCGGTTCAGAAGAGAGAAGGAATCCCTGAGATGGTGAGGAGGGCCGGAGTCATCCCTGAGGAAGTCACCATGGCCCTGAGGAATGTGCTGTGGTCACCAGCGGGGCACAGCGCCACGCCACACCACAGCCTGGCCCTCATTTTCCACAGTGAGTCAGTCAGCAGGCGTCCCGATAGCACTGCACTGCCCTGGGATCGGCATTTTGGGTGGGAGGAAGGTCTTCCCCCGTACTGAGATGGCTTTTCTCATCCTCAGGGTTCCAGGCGAACTCACAATGGTGACATTTGCCAGGCCAGAATAAAGGGCTCTCAGAGAGCACGATGGTAACATGGAGCACAGCTAGTCTGCCAGGGCACGGGGTCCAAGGAATGCTCCTTTGGGAAGGACCCACTGCCTCCAGAATTAAAAAAAGAAAAGAAAGGAAAAGAAAAGAAAAGAAAAGAAAAGAAAAAAGAAAAGAACCCACAGCAGCTCAGGGTCCTGCAGCTCCACCCTGACAGCGCCATCAGCCAGAACTAACTGAAATGAGGTAAAGTATTGCCTCAAAGAGGTTTGTACAACGAAGCTAGAATAAACCCTCCTTTTGATTCTAAACCATTTTTCTTAAATGCCAAGTAACCTTCAGTACCCCACCCGCCAAAAACAGAAACAAACGCGGAGGGAAGAATTTTATTCCCCGCCCCACATCTGTTCACTATAGAATCAAGATGTTTCCATCTTTACAGAAGTTTTGGAGTTCATCCTTTCAGGACTCCTCAAGTCCTCTAAACATTAAAAATAAAACACCGTGTGATTTTTAAATTGCTACTTAAATAACAAAGTCCGGCTTGCCTTTGCTGTCTTCACCTCCCTTCAAAGGTAACAATTCGGTTCCCCATGTTACTAACACCGCAATAATAGCCCTTTAGCGATTTATCATACCTAGGAATGTTTTGGTAGTGGGCCGGTGGAATCTGATCACTGCCTTGGTGCCCTGGACCAAAAGTTTCTTGCTTTGCAGTTTTATCTGCACGAATTCTGAAAAACAGGTCAGAATGACCTGTGATGTTTTCCAGTCAAGTCACCAGAATCTTGCAGTGTGCATTACTGAACTGAAATGAACACATAAACCTATTACCAAAAAAACATTTTACAATATATCATTTGAGCTGTATAATTGCCATTCATTAATCAAATTGGACTTTTAAAGCAACACCTAATTATTTCCATATTTGGCGAGGTTATACCTTTAAAGACTCCCACTGTAGCCTTGCGGGCACGCACACACACAAACACACAACAGTGATCACTTAATTTGATTGTGAAACTCTTGAGTTTCCTCTTTCACCCAGAACTTTCAGATGGTGTTCAAAGTCGGGTGTGGTTCCACGGGATGTGTGTGTGGCGGGGATGGGGGATGAGGGGGAGGATGAAAGGAGACCGGAAGAAGGATGGGAGGGAACTTGGCAAGAAAAACCCTTTAGGGACTCCTAGGAGAGGGTCTGCAGAAATGTCTTGCTAAGGAGAAATCCGCACATTGGAGTAAAATCTGGCTTTGGCGAGCTCTCTAGAACTTCGAGGCGCTCTAGTCTCCCCTACAGGCGAACTGCACACAAGAAATCTGAGGCCCGGCTTAAAGTTTGGTAAAACTTTGGGACAAAGTGCGCGCGGGGCCCAGGGAGATCTGAGTCAGTCCCGTCTAACGGTCCACAAAATCCGCTAGGAGCCTGCGATCTCTGCAGGCAAAGGGCGCGGTGACTCACAGCCAGCCAGTGACTCAGCGACCCCACCCGAGGCCGCGCTGTCTTCGGCCGCCGCCCAGCAGCTCGAGAGGTCCAAAGCCGAACCTAGCCTGTTGGTCTCTGAACAGCAACCCCCAAACCAGAGGGTGAAAAAAGATGCGGGCCCTCGCTGTACCCCTTTCGAATCGCACCGTGCACCGGGCTGCGCGGGGCCGCGCCCTGAGTGCGCCCTGGGCTGTGCGCCCACCACCTCGCGCTCCAATCTTGGACGCTCTTTGTTTCTTTCTCTGCGCCTTCCGATAAGCTGGGACCTCACTCCCCTCTTCCTGCTCCTATGCTCGCGAGTGTCCCCACCCACCCGGCCGCTCCCAGCCCGCGACCGCTGCCCGCTGCCCCTCCCACCCGCGCGCTCTCTCCCACGCCCATTGGCGCGGCGCTCGGGACCCCTTCGATCCAGTTCTGCTTGCGGTTCCCGCACCGCTGGCCGCCGCCCCCTTTCCCAGGACCCAGGAGTGAGCAGAGTTCGGGCCATCACCAGGAAAGCCCCCAAAAGTCCAAGCCCAGCCAAGAAGTAACAGAAGTAACGGGACTGTGCTTAGTTCCGAGGAGCCAGAGCTCACAAGAGGAGGAAAGCGCCAGGGAACCCCCGCCCCTACCCCCTCTCCCTCCTCCTTATCCCCCGCAGCCGCCCACCCTCCCCGCTACTCGCCGGGTCCCCATTGGCTGGGCCGGCGGTGGGAGGGAAGGTAACAGGTTATAAAGACTGCGCCCTGGGCGGGGTCCGGTCCTCTGCTCCTCTCGCCCCGGGGTCCTCACGCCAGAGCCGCAGCAGCAGCGCTCCCGCCGCCCACAGCCTCTCCGCCCCGAGCTGTCCACGCCGCGCAGCGCACCGTCCCCTCCGCAGCCATGTCCACCAGGTCCGTGTCCTCGTCCTCCTACCGCAGGATGTTCGGCGGCCCCGGCACCGGCACCAGGCCGAGCTCCAGCCGCAGCTACGTGACCTCGTCCACTCGCTCCTACAGCCTGGGCAGCGCGCTGCGCCCCAGCGCCAGCCGCAGCGTCTACTCCTCCCCGGGCGGCGTGTTCGCCACGCGCTCCTCGGCCATGCGCCTGCGGAGCAGCGGGCCCGGCGTGCGGCTGCTGCAGGACTCCATAGACTTCTCGCTGGCCGACGCCATCAACACCGAGTTCAAGAACACCCGCACCAACGAGAAGGTGGAGCTGCAGGAGCTGAACGACCGCTTCGCCAACTACATCGACAAGGTGCGCTTCTTGGAGCAGCAGAACAAGATCCTGCTGGCAGAGCTCGAGCAGCTCAAGGGCCAGGGCAAGTCGCGCCTGGGCGACCTCTACGAGGAGGAGATGCGGGAGCTGCGCCGGCAGGTGGACCAGGTCACCAACGACAAGGCCCGCGTCGAGGTGGAGCGCGACAACCTGGCCGAGGACCTGATGCGGCTCCGGGAAAAGTAAGGCTGCGGCGCCCCGCGGGGCCGAGGGAGGGAGGGAGGTGGTAACCTCCTTCCACCCGCCAGGGCTGCCACACCCTGGGGGGGTGTAGTGCGCGGCGGCTGGGGGAGGTGGGGATGGAGGTAGGGCTGGGGGTGGGGGGTGGCCACCCGGGAAGGGAGCTCTGCTTGCGGTGGCGCAGCCCCACCCAGAGCCAAGCAGTTGCAACTATCGTTTCCCCTCTACCTCCTCCCCCTCATTGCCTAAGAGCGCCCTTTTCAAGTTACAGATTTCTTGAAACTACCACTTTATAGTGGGATGGTGGCCCTTGCAAACTATGAGCGTGACATCTCCAAACTTTTGTTGGAGTTCCCTGGCCACCTCTGGCCGGCTGCCAGCGCTGGGCGGAGGGGGGAGGAAGGGATGGCTGTGGAGCAAGAGAAACAAAGGGTTCCCTGGGCTTCTGGGGGGGGGCGGGGAGGGTGCTGGTGGAGGGGCGGCATTCTACTTGCAGGTCCGTGCGCGGACCGTGATTGCCCTGCCACGCTGCGGTCCAAATCCCGCTAACACTCGCCGAGAATGGCAGTTCCCAAAGCGCAGCGGCTCTGGCTGCCTGCGGAGCTGGCCACCAACTTTTGTCTGCAGCCGGGACGCGGTGGTTGGGTGTGGCCGCCCCGCCCTTAGCGGTTTTCCATTTCCCCTTTGGTTAATGTGCAACTGTTTCAGGTTGCAGGAGGAGATGCTTCAGAGAGAGGAAGCCGAGGGCACGCTCCAGTCTTTCAGACAGGTTTGTAAACCCTCTCCCACTCGCAACTACCGGATCCCCCCTCCCTACCCCCTGAGGAACCCACAGCCACAGGCAATTCTAAAAGTTAACTCCCCGGAGTCTAAAGAATGCAAAACTTCACACGACCATGCGCAAGGCCCCCTAGCGGCAGAAAGGCCACATTGGGGCCTCTCTGGGTAAAAACTCTTGGAGGATTTAAACCGTCCAGTCCCTCTTAGGACATAAAGAAAGTCTTTAAATTTTTACTTTGTTTCCAAATTTCTTACAAAAATTTTTTTTTTCCGTTTCGATTTTGGAACACATTGATATTATGATTTCGAAAAGTTACAAATTGAGTTAGATTGCCGTTTGCTAAGTTAGCTAATTTACAAGGCCACAAAAATACAAGGCCACAAAAATCGCGCAATTCTGCCCTGTAGTTAAAAATGCAACCGTGTTTGGAGCATAAGAAACTTAGTTTAACTGGCACTAAGCCAACCAGTTTTAAGTTCTATTGTGGCACTAAAGTTAGATGGAAGTATCGCTATGCACAACTATTTTGTGATCTAATAAGGGTGAAAGGGAGCCATCTGTGCCCTGGCTGGAAGGTATTAATGGTTTCTCTGGGCTGCCCTATGGAATGTAGACTCAGACCTTCTGGCGAGTGTGGTGATTCTGAAGAGAAATAATAGGAGTCTTTGTGTTCCTGAGAGAAGCTTTGCAACAGGCTACATTCTTATTGAATATGTAATGATGTAAGCACAGTTCTAATTGGACACAAGTATTTGCTAACATCCGTTATCTAATATCTGGCCCAGACTTGTGAAGTATGTGATGTGAAAAGTTCTTAAAGCTACAGTCATGCCTCACGTTTGGAAAGGCCTTTCTTTATTGGGTCCTTGTGTTATTATCCTCTTCATAAATAAGAAATAACCCTAAAGCTGAAAAAGGGAAGTTTAATTAAAGTTTTTTTTCCCCCCCTCTAAATTAAGATGGACTTAAAGAATTTCTTAACTTAAAATTGAAATCCAAAAGCAGGAAGAGTTCCCAGCAGTTTTATTCTGCTGAACACTTACTGGGATTGGCTATAAAAGCACTCTCACATGTAAAGTCTAGAATAACATTTGAAGCAGAAATACATTTGTCAAATTAACATAAACACAGCAGTGTGTGATCATTACATCTGTTAAAGTTTTCTGCAGAGAAGCGAGTTAATATAAAACAATGTTAGTATAAAAGGTCTATTTAGGGATTAGGTAACATTTCCCATATTCTCTTTAATAAAGTGTCACGTTGACTTTTTTTATAGAGGCTAGTAAAATTATCTTTTATACCATTTTTTTAGGGTTTAACCACAAGCAAAAAAGAATTTTTTCCCCATGTGCGATTTTTTTGTTTTCTTTTGGTCATGATCTTTTCATGAATGTGATAGAAGTGTCTCAACATTTTAAGAATGTAAGGCTATAAACTGTCCTCCAAATATAACTGCTTAATAAGACAGGAGGTATAAAAATCCTCATGACATTCCCTTTAGTTGCAAAATTATATATTCTGATTTGGAATATATAGCCGTTAACAAATGGTGAAAACTCAGACGGGAGAGCCAGAGCAGCAAGAATTCTACACAGACAGCAGTTTCGTTACATGTAAGCATTTTGATTAGTCATTCTGCAACAAGCTAAGAACTGAATTGACAGTGCGTTAAGTGAAAAGGATGGACACACCCATGTAGGAGGAGACAGGGGAGTTTCAGGGGGAAAAAGGTCCACCAGAGAAAGCAAAACAAATACAGTTCAGAATTACATTTTTTTCCTGATGTGCCTATCCTGCATCTCTGCCATTGCCCATCCTGAATCGGAGTATAAATCTAGCCTTGTAACCTGAATGCCAAATGACCACACATTTGTTTTAAATTATAATGATGTTTTAGATGACTTGAGTAGAGGATAAAAGAGCTCAGGTATACACTAAAACTTTTGAAGCAGGAATTTCTGTTCTGTGTGGACTCATGTATTTTAAGATACGAGACCCGGTGAACACCTGTCACAATGTTATTCCATGATATTAAAATGATGGCATTGATTTTTCTAAATTAAAAAGAAAACACTTCAATGTTGTAATGTAGATTTAGTAACAATTCATGGAGTACAGTTTACCATGATGGCATACATTTATTTATTTTTAAATTGTCAGTTAGCTACCTTGATATAACATAGTGGATCCCAGTTCAAGTTTGTTAATGAGAAGAAAACATAGTATATTGGCACTGGGTCATCTATAAATTTATTTAAAGGTCAAAAGTTTGTCAAGGCCATTTTTATGATAAAGACAATAAGCTTATATGATTAATAAAACTGAGTAGATTAGATAAGCCATAGACTTGAGCATGCCTCACATCCCATCTTTTCTCTTTGAAATAGGATGTGGACAATGCTTCTTTGGCACGTCTTGACCTTGAGCGCAAAGTGGAATCCTTGCAAGAAGAGATTGCCTTTTTGAAGAAACTCCACGATGAGGTAAGTGGAGTAGCTTTCCGTGAATGAACATGGGTGAATCTGTTCCCTTCCTTGACATGGCTGACCTGTCTGTTCTTTCTGTTTTTTTTCTCAGGAAATCCATGAGCTTCAGGCCCAGATTCAGGAGCAGCATGTCCAGATCGATGTGGATGTCTCCAAGCCTGACCTCACAGCTGCCCTGCGCGACGTCCGTCAGCAGTATGAGAGTGTGGCTGCCAAGAACCTCCAGGAGGCTGAGGAATGGTACAAGTCCAAGGTACGGAACCGAGGAAACGCACTTGGGTCATGCCCTTTAGCTCCAGTCAGAAAGCTGGCTTTAGCTTCACGTTCAAGGTGTATTTGCTGCTACAGCCTCTCCACCCATAGCAGACTCCCTACCCTTTACTCTTCTCTGATTCTACTTCCAAGTAAACCCTTACCCCATGCCCTTGTCCTCCACACTTATAAAATGAGAGTAATAGCGTGAATTTCCCCTTGAAACTATCAATGTCATCATTCCATTACTTTTCCTCTGGTTTCAGAAACGTAATTTTTCTTTTCATTTTTAAATATATATTTTTATTGATGACAGTATTATAGATATCTCCCATTCCCCTCCCCCATTTCCTCTCTCTTCCCAACCCCACATCAAGGTATGCCATTCTCACATGGTGTCACTTATTGGTGGAATCTAATGAACAAAATGAATTGTCCAAAACAGAAGTTTAGACATGTTTTGGCAGACATTGAGATTTGAACTTAAAATAGAAAATATGGTTTGTTTGTTTGCCATCGTGAAGCTATCTCATTTGCTCAGGTAAGGTAGACTCTTAGAAACGAGTTGCCTGGGTGATCTACATTTCTCATTCCTTCCTGACAGTTTGCTGACCTCTCCGAGGCTGCTAACCGGAACAACGACGCCCTGCGCCAGGCCAAGCAGGAGTCAAATGAGTACCGGAGACAGGTGCAGTCCCTCACCTGCGAAGTGGATGCCCTTAAAGGAACTGTGAGTATCACACACAATAAGTAACCCATTTGGGTGCATTCAATTGGCCAAGCTCATGGTGCCATCTGAGCAAAACTCCCAATGAAGAAAAAAATATATTTTTTTCATCCAAAGAAAATGAGTTGTTAAGACAGATCCAAAAAGCACTTGAGATCTGTAAGTTTTAGCTTATGTTATCACTGCTGTGAAGGAGGTACTTGGTATTTGTATTCTTTACCTAAAACCAAAGTGTTCGCCATTTGTCCCTCAGGGACATGGCTGCAGGTGGTCTATAAATGGTTCTGGGAACAGCAGGGTTTTTCCAGAAAATAACAGTGGAAGCCTTTCTCTCCTCCTGCAGAACGAGTCTCTGGAACGCCAGATGCGTGAGATGGAAGAGAATTTTGCTGTGGAAGCTGCTAACTACCAAGACACTATCGGCCGCCTGCAGGATGAGATTCAGAACATGAAGGAAGAAATGGCCCGTCACCTTCGTGAATACCAAGACCTGCTGAATGTTAAGATGGCTCTGGACATTGAGATTGCCACCTACAGGAAGCTGCTGGAAGGCGAGGAGAGCAGGTACAGAACTAGGCCGAGTGTGTGTGAATTAGCAGCTGCCATTTGCTGGGTAGTAAGCCACACGCTTTACATATTGCGTCATATTTCCTCTTTAGAGCACTTCTTCAAGGTGGCTGCTTACTCACCACCTTTTATAAATAAAGAGATTGAGCGACCTAGTCAGTGAATCAGTAGCAGAGCTGGGATTTGAAGCTATGATTCTCTGAAAGCCAGTGCCTTTCCCCGCTCTGAAGGCCTCCAGCACATGCCCCTGTGGGGAAAATGCTTGGGGTAAAACATTTAAATGTTCTAATGAGGTCAGTCAGGCATAAATGCTTCTGAAGCAAATCCCTCACTTAAGAAACACATGACGACATTTTCTTGATGAAAACTAGAAGTGCATAAACTTATTCCTTGTCATTTGAGATATTTTTTCAAACATTTTACTGTTTTTCTTTATCTTTTGTAGGATTTCTCTGCCTCTTCCCACTTTTGCTTCCCTGAACCTGAGAGGTAAGCATTTGATTGCTATTTATGAATAATTTTCGTAGCTTGTAACCATTATAAAGCACTCATTTTAAAAATGACACTTGAAAAATGCCATACCAGAGGAAATTCTAGAAAACATCCCATTTTCAAATCCAACTACTGTCTTACCTTCTGTGCAAACTCCACTGACTTCTGCTAGTGCATACACTGCAGTAGTTTATCTCATCCTGACGTTCCAGTGCTGTCAGACTGGGTTTTGAAATAGTTAATCATCTTTAGAATTATTTTGGGAGTAGTGCTTTATACAGTTGTGAACAAAAACTATAATTCTTTGGGACAAATAGTTACTTGCCTTGCTAATGTGTAATTTTTACTCATTTTGGCCCATTTTTCTTATTCAGAAACCAATCTGGATTCACTCCCACTGGTGGACACCCACTCAAAAAGGACACTTCTGATTAAGACAGTTGAAACTAGAGATGGACAGGTTGGTATCTTTAGATCAAAATTGGAGTAATCTCAAGGCGCTGATCTCCTTTTAAATCAATAAGTCTAGCTCAGATACAGCCAGCTGATTTGGAAGGTTTCTGGTTCACTCGTGTCAACTAGGAAGAGAATCGGCCCCTTCTTCCAGCACTATACACAGCCAACTAAGTATTTGACTCCTGGATGTGAAAGGCAGAAAACAGTCTTCCAACTAGTGATTTCTCTACGGTCTTTAATGTAAAATGGGGGTACAGCTTCCTTAAGTTATTTCCTAGACTAGTTTTATGGACGGTGCCATGAGACTGGACACACCGCCCTCCCTAACCACTCCTAGGCCCTCTTACACAACACATGGATATGCCATGTGATCAAGTCGTCATGTCAGCTCCATGCCAGGAAAGAAATGGTCCAAAGTTATTGTAATCCTCATGTAATCTTCCCTTGCACACAAACTTAAAACAGGTGATAATTGTTTCTAAACTTCGCTGCATAGAATTATTATAGAAACCTTCTTTACAAACACAGGCCTTTTTATAAAATGTTGTTTTTCAGCCACGATATTCCATTGGCTACTTACTTTGCTTAGGGGTGAAGAGCGTCTTACATAGTATCTGTCCCTTGCCCCCTCCCCACCACCCCTTCTCCTGCTATAACCCTGCTGGCCATGCAGAACCAACATAACCTTCCAGCTTCCCCAGTAAATTACATATAATTGGTAGAGCTTTTCTTTGCCTTGCCTAATGGAGTAACTTAATCTTTGGCATGTATTATTATATTTTATTTGAATTTTATCTTTTTTTTTAATCAGGTCATCAATGAAACTTCTCAGCATCACGATGACCTGGAGTGAAAACTGCATGCACTTGGTGCTGCAATATATTACCAGCAAGAATAAAAAGGAAATCCGTATCTTAAAGAAACAGCTTTCAAGTGCCTTTCTGCAGTTTGTCAAGAGCGCAAGATAGATTTGGAATAGGAATAAGCTCTAGTTCTTAAGAACCAACACTTCTAAGAGAATTGGAAAAACGAGTTTACAACATAATCTAGTTCATGAAGGCTTGTGCTAGAATACTTTTTAAAAAGTATTTTTGAATACCATTAAAACTGCTTTTTTCCAACAAGTTATCTGACCAATTTGTTTCTGCTTCAATAAAATCTTTGAAAAACTCATTTGGTGTCTTATTTAATAATAGCTATACAATTCTCTCAATTTTATGAGACTATGTTTTGGTTAAAAAATGTTTGGTTCTAATTGGCTAATTTGACACAAAAATGAAGTTTAGGTTAACTCACTAAATTCAACTTACTGTATTTATGCTTGAGGGGTAGCTCTTAATTTGGTCATTTAGGTAGACTTCACTTCGTTATTTTTCGTTTTGTTTGTTTTTTGTTTTTAATAAACTAGAGGCCTGGCCTGAGGGAAACAGGCCTCTTACATCCCTTGAGGGGTCCTGGTTGCGAGAGGGCACAGGTCAGGCCGAGGGGACCCCCTGGTGCCTGATTGATGGGACTGGGGAGGGACTGAGAGAGGGCTCCAGGGCCTGTCGCCCCCTTTCTCCGCCCCCCCTCCCTGTCCCCCCGTTTTGCCTAGTCCCAGTCCTGATTGGCCAGACCCCAGCAGCAATCTAACCTACCCCTTGGAGCTTTTGTCCCTGGTGGTCAGTGTGTATCATAGTGAATGGTCAAATAGTCTGACACTTAGCATATTAAGCTTTTATATCTCAAGACTAGAGGTCCAATGCATGAAAATTCATTCAAGAGTAGGCCTGCCTTGCCCAAGCTGCCAGCACTGCTTTCCCTCCAGCACTTGGGACCTGGGCTTCCCTCCTCTGGTCACCCACCAGCACCCGGGACCCTGGCTGGCTTCCCTCCAGCCCCAGCTTGGTCAGGAAGGATGTCCAGAAGATGTCCTTCTTAGCATATTACCCTATTATCCTATATAATAAAGAGTAATATGCAAATTAACCACCAATCCAATATACCCACAAGCCACATTCATAAGCCAATCAGGAGCAGCCACAGAAAAAGCAGGAGGGAGGCTTGGGTTTTCCTGGCAATGGAGGAAGCCAAGCTTTCTACACATCCTGGTGAGCCCAGGCCTCCACTTAAAGAGACAGAGTTTCAATTATAGAAGATATATAAATCCAAATAGAAATGGCTGCAGCCACGAAGCTGGAGAGAGCAAGAGCCTAGGGTTTCCCCCAGCGATGGAGGAAGCCAAGTTTCTGCAGCCCTGGCTGGCCCAGGCCTTTGCTCCAGGCTACAAAGTTTAAATTATAGAAGATAAATAAATCCCATTAGAAATGGCTGCTGCCAGGGAACGAGCAGATAAACAAACCCCAGATACCAGGGCCTCTTCTTGGGTTGCCAGTGGGTGTGGCCAGCCTGCAAACCACTACAGCTCCTTGCCCAGGCTGCCCCATGCCCGAAGGGAACCCTAATCAGGACACCCTTCAGGCAAACCAGCTGGCCCCCACCCATGTGCCAGGCCTCTATCCTACCTAATAAAGGAGTAATATGCAGATTAACTGTCACTCCAACACACAAGATGGCTGCCCACATGTGGTCAAAGATCCTGCCCCCATGTGGACACAAGATGGCTGCCACAAGATGGCCAGCAGGGGAGGGGAGTTGGGAGGGACCAGGCCTGCAAGGAAGGACAATTGGAGGCAATCGAGCTTGCAGGGGAGGGAGTTAAAGGGTGACCCAGGCTGGCAGAGGAGGGAAGTTGGGGGCAAATAGGCTGGAGGCAGTTAAACATCAATCAGGCTGGCAGGGGAGTGGTTAGGGGTGATCAAGCTGGCAGAAGCAATTAGGGGCAATCAGGAAGGTAGGCAGGTGAGCAGTTGGGAGCCAGCAGTCCTGGATTGTGAGAGGGATGTCCGACTGCAGGGATCAGGTCTAAATGGGCAGTCGGACATCCCTCAAGGAGTCCTAGATTGGAGAGTGTGCAGGCTGGACTGAGGGACACCCCCTCCATGCATGAATTTTGTGCACCGGGCCTCTAGTTATTATAGATACATAATAAAACAACATACAAAATTTACAACAGCTCTTTCCAAAGAATGATTCCAGCTGATTCCATACCCATGAGTAATTTCACTACTAACAAATAGACTTCCTAAAATTGAAAGTTTTGACTAAAATGAACATTTTTTCTTGGTATATGTAGCAAGTGAGTAGCACAAATTCCAATTGTGGGAGTTAAAGCATAGGACAATAGGCAGGTTACTGGGGCTTCATCCTCCATTAGCAAGATGCAAAGAAAGGGCCCAAGTTCAAGTTCCCACATGAAACTGCCCGGCCTTTCTGTGACTGCATATATGTAAAGGATACCTAAATCTATATTTACCTATAGATGGATATTCTCAAAAACCTTCACATATGGGGAACAGCACTGACACAAAATAAAGGAAAACCCTTACCTTTTCATCTGGGAGATGAGACTAATCTATGTGAGTCAGATGTTGAAATGATGCTCACTGTCAGTGTAATAAACTTTCACATCTGGAGCAAGGACAATGAAGTATGGGCTTGTCATTCTATCGCTAGGCCATGCAATGTGAGCAGGCTCTGGAAACAGGTACAGTTTAGAGGGGCCCTGGCCAGGTAGCACAGTTGGTGAGAGCCTTGTATCAGGTCCAATCTCCAGTCAGGGCACATACAAGAATCAACCAAGGAATGCATAAATATGGTGAGTGGAACAGCAAATTTACGTCTATCTCTTTCCTCTCCCTCTCTCTCCATTTCTCTCTCTAAAAAAATAAAATAAAATAAAAATTAAAAAAGAAGAGGGGAGGGTTTTAGCTGGAGGCAATGAAGTTGTAAAGGTAGATTGCATTTTTCTGAAGGGAAACTCCTGTGGGAAATTTTCTGGATCCTCCAGGTCCCAATTTACTGTATAACTATTATGCTCCCTCGTTCAGGAATGATGTGGTGGGCACTTGTAATTTTTAGGTGTTTCTGTCTATCTCGGGAGTCAATGAGAGAAATAGTGAAATAGTTCACATAAAGCCCACCCACATGGCAGGCATTGTGCTCAGTAACATTAGCTGCGTGTTTCGTGGTTTTTGTTACTGCAGACACTGGTGAGAAAAGGAAGGATGGGCCTGGTAGTGACCCCTGGTGGGTGACTTCCCCTCCTAGTTCCCTTAGGGTGCTCAGGGTCTATGCTTGCTTATGAATAGTGTCCCCTTTCAGACTCACACGTGTACCAGCATGGTCAACAGCTCTTTAGTCATCCTACCCTTGCAGGGAAGGAGAGCCATCCTGCGAGGCCTTAGTGTGCCCCCCCAACCCCTTACCCTCCATCTGTGAACCACTGACATGCTGGAAGGCATGAGCAACATTGCTAGAGCAAATGGTCTTTGGGCCCTTGATGTACTTTTTCTATTTCATATTTGGTTTTGTTTTCTATTCTCTAGCTTTTCTCACTATATTCCCCTCCATCTCCTAAACTCACTTACCCCGCTCTTCTTCCATTTCTACCTGCCTTTGGCTTATAAATCTCATCCAGGGAAGACACCAGCCAGTTTTCTTCAATCACATGACCTTTTATTATTATTATTTTTTATTTTTTAATTGAAGCTATAGAGTTGTTGTTGTTGTTGTTTTTTTTTTTTTTTTTTTTTTTTCAGGGGCAAAAGGAACCAGGATGACAGGTTCTGCCCATATATTTGAGACTAGTAGGCTCCCACCCTTAAAAAAATCTTACAGCTCTTTCTAAATCATCCTCCTTGAAATGGAAAGGATGAGCTGGTCTTCCTTATCTGTGACTCTCAGAAATTAGCCCTTAATGAGGATCCTCAAAGGGGCCCAGCTCATAGGAATTCAAATCTATTTAAGTCTTTTTTATTTTTATATTTAATTACACTGTTAGCATTTTCCTTATCTTTTGTTTAGAAAAACAAATAAAAAGAAACTATGTTCTCATCACTTATGGTGAAGCAAAGATTGATGCTTGGTTCTGTTATGTATAACACTAGAGGTCCAGTGCAAGAAATTCTTGCATGGAAAGAGGATGCCCTCAGCTCAGCCTGCACTCTCTCCAATCTGGGTCCCCTCAGGACTTCGGGCACATAACCGCTTACCTGCCTGCCAGCCTGTTCACCCTAACTGCTCTCCCCTGCTGGCCTGATCCCCTTAACTGCTTTCCCCTGCCTGCCTGATGGCCTCTAACCTCCTCTGCCTTGGCCTCGCCAACATGGCTTTGTCCAGAAGGTCTTCCGAAAGATGTTCAGTCTAATTAGCATATTACCCTTTTATTAGTATAGATGCCACTTTGTCCTAAAAATGCAGGTTGTTCCTAGGTTTTTCTATCGTGGAAAGTGTTCACTCAGTAGCATCCTGGGTTCTGACCAGGGCTTATGTGCTTGTGCTTTATCTCAGCAGATGTGATTCCTAGAAGAAGACTCTTGGATGTCCCTTGGACATTTCTATTGAATTTGCCAAATCATCCTCTAAAAATGTTCAACCACTTTAAACTGCCACCTGCAACCATGTATGTGCCTTCCGTCCCACTTTGATGTCAATATCATTAATTTCTCCCTAGAAGCTTCCCTCCTCTTAGCCAAGAATGCTTGGTACTTGAGCCAACCTCATCATTCAGCCCAGGACTTCATTTCCCCAGAGAATTATGGAGGAGGAAAAATAGTTTTCCTCTACCTTTCTGAATTCTTAGCAGAGGCCCTTGTAATGAAATACAGATCACCAAGAGAAAAACAAAAGTTCATTAACATGTGTACCTCGTGTTTGTGTGGGAGATCCCAGGGAAAAATTAGTAACTCCCCAAGGTGGCTTAGAATGCAGATTTAAATACCCTTTTCTTAGGGAAAGGGGATGGGAAATATAGGCCTCTTAGAGGAGAGTAAATGATTTTTAGGAAAGATGAATGGGAGTGGGGGAAATAGTTTATAACAAAATTTGGGTGTGATGTCAACTTCTAGTCTTCTGTCCTGTGACAGGAGTCAGTCTTTTTTGCCTGATGACACTTCTCCCATCAATGGGACCTATGACATTTAAGCTCCTTTAAGGGGGTCCGATTTTGGGCAGATCAGGAGACTTCAGTGAAAGCCTCTGAATGTATTTGCTGATTTTCAAGCATCAATATAACAACACAGTATATGCTAGGGTGGCATGTTCTCTGACCTTCAGAATAAACCCAACAAAAG